TTCTTGGATGTAGAGCGGCTGCTTCAGGCTCAACCCAAGCAAGCCTAGAGCTCAATTCCCTGGGAGGGAGGTGCAAAGGCCCTGATGCATGGGCCCAACATCTCCTGGTCTCTGGTACCCCTGCAAACGTGGTGCTAAGCCTCAGGAGCCTGCTGAGCAGCTCTGCTGCCTTTGTGGGCCAGACATGTCTAGGAGTGATGTCAGGCTAATAATAACAGGCTGATTGTTAACAAAAACAGTCTGATCTAAAATCTGAATCAGGATCATAAGCATAAGAACAGAAAGCATAAAGAACAGAAATGTAAAAAAATGCCAGTCCATGTGGTTTTCTGGAAAGGATCTTGTTGTACCAACTTGACTTCATTCCTTTAGACCCCAAGGTTGGTCCATAAACATAACTGCATATGCAACATCCTTGTAAATATTAGATTTGTACAGCGTGGCATTCCAGTGGGGGAAAAAAAGCACCACACATCAGTAGAGCATGTGTTAAATGAGCTAAGAGTTGGCTGTCTGACAGATCGCAGAGAGTGGTGATCAGTGGGGAATCGCTGGGGCCTGGATCTGTTTCTACAGTGGAAAATCCTTGGCCCAAAGCCGTGCAGCCTTCTCCACTAGTGAGCTGGAAATAAAGGTGGAATTGCTCCTAAGGAAGCTGGGAGGGGAGAAAAATGATGTGGGAAAAGACAGACACCCACAAGGACCAGTCAGTCCCTCTTAGTATGAAGACATTAAATAAAATCAGAGAATCAGAGAATCATGAAGGTTGGAAAAGGTCTCTAAGATCATCGAGTCCAACCACTAACCCAGTATCAGCATATTCACCACTAAACCGTGTCCCCAAATACCACATCTACCCATCTTTTAAATACCTCCACTAATGGTGATTCCAGCATTTTCCTGGGCTGCCTGTTCCAGTGCTTGACTTGACTACTCTTTCCCATGATTCTCTGAAACTGGGTACAATATGCAGCTCTGGTGCCCACACCTCAGAGAGAGGATGGTGAGTCCTGTGTGTGGGGAGCAGGCAGTCTGGACAAAATTCCCTCTTGGCAGCTATGGACACCATAACTGTGACAGAAGGAGCTGGAGGAGACAGGTGCAGTGTCGGGAGAAGGTACATGCCCCGAGGGAAGTATCTCTCTGGATTCTCTTTCAGTGACCCAGTTTTGCACCCTATGAGCTATAAGGTGCCCTCTTTCTTCTCTGGGATCATCACAGGACTATGGGATAATTCAGTCTGGAAGGGACCTCAGGAGTTCTCCTGCTCAAAGCAGGGCAGCTATGGGGGTAAGCCCAGTTGCTTACAGCTTTATCCTGAAATATTCCCAGGATGGAGACAGAACAAACTGGGGAGCTGCAACCAGAAGGATTAGACTTTGCTTCCCAGATGTGTCACTTGGCTACAGCTGGGGTAGTTACAGACATGTGTCTCTCTGCATTACCCAGCTGTGCTGTCTCCCTCAGCCTGGCAGATTTGCAGCCCAGACAGAGCCCCAGGATGTTCAGCCCTGGGATTTGGCAGCACCAGGTGAGTTTTCACGACAGCCCTTTATCACAGCCCTTAATCTGAGCGCTGAGCATCCATCCACTAAAAACTTGAGCCTTGAACGGGGCCCCCCAAAACCAGCCTGGCCGTCCTTCCCTGTCACCCACGGCTGCCTGAGCGCTGCAAAACAAGCCGGCGTTGTTTGCTTTAAAGATCAAAGCTCATTTAAATGCATCGCTTCTCCCTGCCTCCACCTGATATCCAGACGAGATGCCCCGGCTTAGGTGAGTCAGTGCCTGGCTGAAGTCAGCCGCAGTTATCTCTGCGAGGCGGGGGCAGCTCTTGCATCGCGCTTCTCCCAGCGCCGAGCCGTCAGGTCTCTAATCATCTCCCGCCCCCGGTCCTTGGACCGAGCCCCGGCTTGGCCGTGACTCGTCCCTGGAGGCTGCCCGGCTGCTGTGGGGGGAGCGGCGCAGCCTCCTCTGCTCTGCGAGCCCCAAGGCAGATGTTGCAACACAAACCGGCACCTGCAGCCAGGGAAGGGCATTTTCCACAGCCAGCCACTGCTTTTTCCCCTGTGCGGGGAGCTCCCCGGCTGCGTGCGGCACATTCAGCTCTCCAGTGGGATGCGGGAGAAGCTGGCATTCGAGTCCTTCTTTTTTTTTTTTTTTTTTTCTTTTTTTAAGGATGAGCTGACGAAGCTCCAGGTGGCTGTTTGGCAGTCACGCTTTATCCTCGGTTGCTGACGCCGACAGCGAGTGACTCAGCCCTTTCCAGGCTCCCTGCAAGCCTCTTCCCCTCCTGCCACTCGAATGTTTGCTCTCTCCCGGCCAGAACAGATTCTGCCCGGAGGTCCTGCAAGGCCGGCAGCTCAGACAGGGCAGCACTGCTCCTTGCTGTGGCCATGGTGCGGAGCAGGGAATCTGCAGGACGCCCTTTCTGAGCAGTGGAGATGGTCCCGTGAATCAGGACTGAGTTTCTCCTTCCCCTCCTTGTTCTGTTCCCAGGGAAAGCTCCCAGGGCAAAACCCACCCCCGGCGATCGGCGTTCCCGTGCCTTTGCCAGGCAGTGCCTAATGCCCCACTTGACTTTTCAGCTGTATTTGTTGCAAACATTTTAATTTTCTTCCCAGCCCAAGTGGCGCCCTACATTTTCATCCCTACGAGCATGGGAGTTTCCAGATACCTCAGCACGAAGCAGGGCAGAACCTCCCACCTCCCTGTGCCTCGTGCCCAGATCCACGGAATCCCCAGGTCCTGGGGAGGGGTGAGACCTTCACCCCTGCACAGGTGATGGTGCAAGACTCCCTGGGCACAGAGGGATGCTGGAAGACCCTTCAGGCAGCAGGATGTCCTCAGGTGGAGGTGTTGGCAAAGGGCTGATCCCAAGCAGGTTGATGGGAGCAGCGATGAGAGCCACGCTGTGCTCAAGGAGAACCAGAGTTGGCTATGACAGCCAGTAGCAGTCCAAAACAAGCAGGAAAATGTTTCACCATGGCTCAGCACAGTGAACAAGGAGCAAGGTGGCCCACAGAAAGCAATTTTTTATCCAGTCTCATGACCCCGGACTGTGGCTTGTCCAGACTTTACTGAGACCCTGCAACCTCTGCTTCCACAGCTCTGTGGAGAGCTGGATTGCTCAGGTGGGTTAGTAAAATGGCAGAGTGGGCTGTGAGCCACGGGTCATGTCTCAAGGCTTTAGATGTCTCTGTGTGAGCTGAGAAGTCTGGGGTCCCTCTGTGGTGGTGGAGCTCTGGAAGAAGTGTCCATGCCTGGATGAGATCAGTCCCTCCTGAATCAACTCAGGAGTGTTGTCTCTTGATCTCTGATGACTGGTGATGGAGTCAGGATGAGACCACAGTGGAGACACCCACCTAGAGCTGGGGGGATCTCACTGATATTGGTGTTGGAAGGATTGAAAGCATTGCAATAGGGGGCTGTGATGGGGCTTGCAAGTACCAACATCTTCTGCTGAGAATGGGTTAAGGCACTGTGGGCCATGGCACCAGTTGGGAAGAGATCATAGAATTGTAGAATAGAATCATAGAATGGTTTGGGATGGAAGGGACCTTAAAGATCATCTTGTTCCAACCCCCTGCCATGGGCAGGGACTCCTCCCACCAGACCAGGTTGCTCAAAACCCCATCCAACCTGGCCTTGAACACTTCCAGGGATGGGGCACCCACAGCTTCTCTGGGCAGGTCCCAGCACCCATGAGTGGCCAACTTAGACCTTTCCATAAACCCCCAACTTTATGGACTTAGGCAGGGCAGGAATCTGTGCATGGAGTGGCAGCAGCCTAACGTGGAGAGCTGGGATGTGGCCTGCAAAGGGGTGCACGTTGTTCGGTGACGGAGAGCGAGGAGGAATGCAGGAGGTAGGAGACAGCGTGTACAGGCAGGAGCGCGGGTGGGTGTTTCTCCAGCGCACACGCCGTGTTCAGCAGTCCCCCCTGGCCCTCCTGGCGGAGAGGTGAGGCAGCAATTAGGCTGATTGAAGGCCCAGTTGCTTCTTGCACAACGGCAGAGGCAGTGCCCCTTGCAGCTGTGTGGTTCAAAGCTTGAGAGGAGATAAAGATCTGCCTCACCGAGCACTTGGGAATTGCTGGGGGAATCCAAGGACAGCTCGGGCCACCCCACCCTGCCACCCCGCTTCAATTCTACCCTCTTCCAAGCTGGCATCTGGCTTAAAAGCCTTCCTGAGCCTACAGCAGCACAAGGAGAGTTTCCTCCCCCTTCTCCCATCCAGCTGTGTGTAATGACTTGGGAAATCATACAATTTGTGTCAGCTTTCCTTGCTTACCAGCCTGTTCACATAAGATCCGTCTTCTCAGCCGCCATGAGGACTGGTCTTTGCCTTCCTTAGTCATGGGGGGCAGAGTTAAAAACCCATTTGATTTTATGAGCAAAGCCTGATTTCGTGTCTGATGGGTGGTCTGTGCCAGTGGTGAAGCACTGACCAAATCAGGTAGAGTGTGAGGAATGTCTCCTCTGGGTGTACTCCCGGGTGTCCAGCCAAGGCTGGGCCATGCTCTACTGGATACAGAATCACAGAATGGTTTGGGTTGGAAGCGACCTTCAAGATCATCTCATTCCAACCCTCCTGCCATGGGCAGGGACACCTTCCACTAGCCCAGGTTGCTCCAAGTCCTGTCCAACCTGGCCTTGGACACTTCCAGGGATGGGCCATCCACAGCTTCTCTGGGCAACCTGTGCCAGGGCCTCACCACCCTCCCAGGGAAGAATTTCTTCCTATTATCTAATTTAAACCTACCCTCTGACAGTTTGAAGGCACTCTCCCTTATCCTGTCACTCCAGGCCCTTGCAAAAGTCTTTCTCCAGCTCTCTTGTATTCCCTTTAGTTACTGGAAGGTGCTCCAAGGTCTTCCTGGAACCTTCTCTTCTCCAGCCTGAACAACCCCCCCATGCACTTCCACCTTTATCCACAGTCTGGCTCTGCCTTTGCCTCCCACATCCTGATAACTCCCGTCAGCAGCACCAGGCACACAGGGATGTACAAAACAGTGAACGCTTTTTTATTTCGCTGCTGGAGTGTAACCACCGTAATTTCATAAAACTCAAAAAACAACAACAAAAAAGTGATTACTGAAGGCATACATTGTTTTCTTTTTTTTTTCCTTTTTACACAAGACGTTAAGTAAACAGACAAGTTTCTTTTTAAAAAGGTTATAAAGTGTCAAGATGCTATACCTCATCTGCATATTCAAAGTGATGCCATCTGATACAAAAAGCGTTGGGTATAATAATTTAGCTATGGCTCAGACCAAAAAAAAAAACCAACAAAACCAACAACAAAAAAAAAAGTCATCTGGGCTTGATCTACATACTACTATGATTGCCCAGGGGGTTAAAAAGGAAAATATGCAGCTCTTTGTTGAACAAAAAGGAACAGCAGGGAAGGGGAGAATTCATTGGGAGATCATCCTCTGAAGGGAAGCCGAGCTCGGTGGAATGCCCCCCTTCCCGGGAATGTCTGCTAGAGCCTGTGAGCAGGACCACAGCTGGCCCAGGATCCCCCCACTGCTAAGAAACCAGCCACATCTTTCTCCCACCAGACAGTATCCCATCCAAACCCACCCGCCAAACTGCACCTACCTAGCGTGCTGGAAGCAATGAAGATGTAAGACCTTGGAAACTGCATGGAAGTCACGAATCTCCCTGTGTGCTTTCCCACTGGGACTAATAAAAACCAAACAAATCCAATGAAAAAAAAAAAAAGGACTCGTTCTATTGTGGATAGAGCAAGAAGACTCTCTGCTTTCTCAGGAAATCTGTTCCTCATAAACCTCCTCATCCAAAGCTCCCAGCCCAAGCACCACAGTGTCAGCCTGATTGCAAGACTCATACCATGAATTTACAAATGCAAAGTCTTCAAATATGTGTCAACAGAACTCTCTTAATAAAGAGCTGGACATCTATGATGGCCACATTGCCTGTCTTCCCACCACCACCTCCTCCACGTGCTCCATGCTACCGGAAAATGAAGAACAGAAGGGACATGGAAGAGCACACGTGTGAGAGGACACAACCAGGAATTCCTGCTCAGATTTATCCCCACACACAAGGTTCAGCCACGACTAGATTGCTGGGTAAAGCGCAAAATCTCTTCTTTCGATGCTTGGGGCATCTCGGCTTTGCCATCTCTTGGGTCTGGAGCCCTGTCCCTGTAAATTAAGGAAGGACAGTGGCTTTACATGGAGGGGGTGAGAGGGTGGATAGGTGTGAGGAGGTATAAAACCCAATTTGAGCCTTTGTTTCTTCAGAGAAGGGCAGGATGAGGTGGCTGGTTTGTAGCCAAAGCCGTGGGGTGTCTGTTCCCTGTGACATCTGCCAGGACACAATGGAAACAAGCAGCAATAACAGAGTTGGCAAGCACATCAGATTTTTAAGGTTCTCCTTTCAACATCTTGGCATCTAAGGTGAAACAAGGATTAACATACAAGGAGAGACCCCACGACCAAGCCATGAGCCCTTGGTTGCTTAGCCTCACTCTGCTGCTGTGTCTACTGAGCTTCAACCTTCCCTCTTGCCCAACTGTCTCAAGACTTTTGTCTTGGGTTCTTCTTTGAGATTTCTAACCCAAATCCCCCTTGGAAGATCACCTAATTTCCCCTTTTCTAAAGCACCCTAGGCTGAAACATTGAGGAGCTGGAAGTTTCTCAGAGGAAGGAGCCCACGTCAATAACAAAAAAAAATCCCCAATATTTTGCAGTCCAACCCAGAGAAACCTTGGATTCAGCCCTCCAGGCAAGGACAGGAGCTCCTGGGCTGCCAAGGTGTTCTGTTCATGGAGCAGCACACAGGGAGGTGACAGCACATTGCAGGATGGGAGGGGGAAGATACCCATAAAAAAAAAAAGAAAAAAAAGAAAAAAATGAGGACAATTAAAGCAGCATGATTTTGGTTTTTTTTTGCCATGATTCATAGACTGAGAAGCATCAAGGTGCCACTCTGCCAGCCAGAGGCGCTCAGGGTTTGGCCACATGGATTGTACCAGGTCAAGGACTGCTTGAAGCTCCCAATTTTTAAGGTGATTGGTTTGATGCTACATAAAGCAAAGCCTGTCCTCCTCGTGTTTCCCCCAGAACAGCCCACCAAGATGAGGTCTGAGTGAACTCTTGCTCAGGAGTGGCCAAAGGAGGCTGAATTCAAGCCCTTCCATCCCCGGCCTGACTCCACTCATAGGCATTGTGGACGAATCCCTGGACCACTTGCCCTGGGCAACGTTCCATGTGATGCTCCCACAGGCATGGGTGAAGAAAACTGCATCTCCAAGCCTAGAAAGCAATGGTTCCCACAAGGAAGGACATGGGATTGAGAGGCTTCCTGGCTAGGAGGGATAGGGGCTATCCCTGTTGTAATGCCAAGCTACCTCCTACATGTCCCTGGGGATGAAGCAGCACCTATTTTAGCAGCAGGACAGACTTGGGCAGGAAGGGAATGGTGACCTGTCCAACAGAGTGCTCTAATACAGAGTCAGGCCTTCTCATCAGCTCAGTTTCTCACTTTTCCCAACAAACACACACCCTTCAGCCATTGCTGCCCTCTCCACAAGTCAGGGGAACCAATAGCCTGGAACAAGGCAGGTGAAAACTCAAGGGACTAAGGGCTGTCCCACAATGTGGAGGCTTGGACAGGCCTAAGGTGTGTGACATGACAACTCCAGAACCACGTGTGGAGGGTCCCCACCTCACTTGGCACCACAGCCTATCCCATGGGATGGCCATCCCTGAAGTGCAGCGGGGCTGGCTCCCATCAGGACAGGAGAAGCGGTGCTGGAAACTGCTACAAACACCTCTGCCCACCCACATCATGGTACAAAGCCATTCCCTACCCTTCTGCAGGTACTGCAGGTGTCTCACCAGCCTTCCTCACCACCTTTCCCAAGGGATGAACCCTCTGAAGCAAACATCTCTGGATATCTACATTTCGGAAGGCACACAAACCTTTGGAGATACCCAACACAGGGCACTGAAGGCATCACAAGCTGGGCAGCCTAAAACCACACAAGGTGGATGATCAGCCCTCCTTGCCCAGCAACTGGGCTCCTCTGCAGCTGAGGGTGAGCAGCACCAAGTCCAAGGGATACCTGGAGCTTCCACTTGGCCCCATATGTGCCCTGGTGACAGTGGGTGGCAGCCAGCTAGGACCTGGTGCTGGAGATCAGTCTGGGGGACCATGGGTCACCTCCTGGGCTCCACTGGGCAGCGATGGGAGAAAGAAAGGCCAGAGGACGTGCGGAAGACAAACAGGGTATTTTTTAAAGTTTTTTTTTTTCCTTTAATTAGCAAATTTCTTTTTATCCTTGTTAAAAGGAAAAAAAAACCCCACACCCCCTGTGTGCCCACTGCTCCAGCTGCTGCAAGCGTTCAAAGGCAGAAAGTTGAGAGATGTTGAATGTCCCAGCTAAGGGGTAGCTCTGAGTCCACCCCACCAGGGCACATGCTGGGGGAATTCGGGGTGTCAGGCGCCTCGTTACAGATATGGAAAAGGCAGGTGCAAAATTTGGTGATGTGCTCTTGCCAGGAACACCCCAAATCCCCTAGGAAGGACGCAGCCCAGCCCCTTGGCCAGTGGTGGAGGACATGGATGTGCCCTGAGCTGCACATTGTGTCCCCACGGCATCGCTCCCAGCACTGGGGTTTGCACCACGACTCAGGGATGGGGACACGACAGCAGAGAACCCATTGCCCTGTGCACTGAATTTGGAAGCTGTAAGTGCATCCAACACTTTGGTGGATTCAGTGCTGATCCTGCATTGATCCTGGCAAAGCTGGTGCTTCAAAGCCCTGACACGGTCCCCGAGGTCCCCAGTGGCTCTGCCCTCGCTGCAGCAAACTCCCAGCGAGCCGCATCTGCATCATCCCAGCTGCCACTGAGGCAACAGGGGGATGGTGAAGTGGCAGAGGAGCCAGGAGAAGGGGAACGGTGCTGGGGGTCTTAGCTCAGCCCTTCCCGTGAAAACAAGGGGATCACTGAGCTAAGAACCTGTCACCTCTCCCTGCCATCACCACCTTCCCCCGAGGCCACCACGCCATCCCCAACTCCATCCTCGCTGCTGCAGCCCTTATTTATAGGAAGGAGGTGGGAAAGAGATTTTCCAGGGGTGTTCTGGCCCTCCTGCCCCCTCCCACCCCTTCTAAGCTGTCACAGCCCTGCCTGCATCACCCCAAACCAAGCACCCTTCGTCCTGCCCCTCTCAGTGCAACGGGGAGGGGAGAGGGAGGAGGAGGAAGGTGATGAAGAACCGTCGCACCAGCTCATTGCCTGCTAACGCCAAGAGTCAATGGGCAGCGCTGCCTTCCTTCCTCGGGGCTGCAGCTGGAGAGAACAGCCTTTCCTGGGGCTGTGCTGTGGGTGCTGGAACACACTGGTGATGCTCCATGTCCCCCCACTGCAGCCCTGGCAGTGGCGGTGGGAGCGCAGGGCTGGGCGAGGGGGTGACGGGGTGGGGTGTGTGCGAGTGCCCGGGGTGTCTGTGTGCACGGGTTTTGGCAAGAGGTCATTGAGGTTACATGATGCAGCATTTGTTCTTGTGGTTGTGAGGGTCCTTAAATCGGAGTCTCTGCTTTGGTCGGTATTTTTCCAAGTACGTCAGCTGCTTGCTGTTGATGGCTCCTCTGCGCTTCCTGCGGGGACAGAGAAGGGCCAGCAAGGTCAGCGGGGTGGCAGGAGACCTCCTGGTCCCAAACCACCCCTGTCAGGGTGCTGAACTCCCCCTGCCCGGAGCAGGAAGGGATTTTGGAGGCTGAGCGCACGTGCATCCTTCAAGGATGGAGAACAGGCACTGCCCCCAGCAGCTTTTCTCTCTTCATCCGCCCTGGAAGTCTCAGGACAATGGAGAGACTCCTATGGAGAGCTGGGGAGGAAACACGTGGGGCAGAGGTGGGGTGACTGCCAAAAGCCCCCCGGGGATGCTCCCAGCTGCTGCCCCAGCCTCCTGCAGCCCTGATCCAAAGGCACAGAGTGCTCAAAGCAAACACCTCCTTTTTCTTCCCCCGAAAGAAGAGAAAAACAAAAAACCCAAAAAACCCCTGGGACACATCAGATCTCTCTGTTCTCTCAGAGAGGGGCTGTTTCCTCCCCCAGCACTGGAACACCACATGACTTACTGTCGGATGAACTGGATGGCATCCTCATACTTCATCCCGCTCTCGATCAAGGCCAGTGCAACAAGGACAGGAGCACTGAAAGGCAAAGGCAGTGGTGGTCACTCCTCAGCCACGTTGACATCCCATCATTTAAAGCCCAAGGAGAAGCTCAGGCAGCAGATCCCGCCCTGTATTCCAACACCTATTCCCATTAAGGTTTCACAAAACTCTGCTCAAAGGGGACTGGGGAAGGGAAGGAGGAGGGCAGGCATGGTTTTTCCCTCTCCTCTCTGCACGGGTGGGGTGGCAGGAGGGGTGCTGGGCTCAGACTCACCGCCCCAGCCCGGCCACACAGTGCACGGCCACGCAGCACCCGGGGTCCTCGCAGAACTTGGTCTTCAGCAAGTTGAGCCAGTCTTCCACTATCTTACTGGGAGGAGGTGCTCCATCATCAAAGGGCCAATCCTGCAAGGTCAGGTGAAGAGAGAAACACTGTTAAGACTTTCAGGGGTTGTTTTTACTCAGGGTGATGGTGTTTGGGCCCTTGGATGAGTGCGTCAGGAACCGGGCTCACAGCACAGCTCTGCGGGGCTCTGTGGCACCATCCAGGCATAGGAACTCCCTGGCTGCATTATTAGCTCAGGGTCTGAGGCCATACAAGTCCATTTAAACATCATCCTTCGGGAAAAAAACGCCAGGAAAGGCTTTTAAGGGCCAAAAAAAAAAAAAAAGCCCATCTTCTTCCGAGCTTCATCCTTAACCTGCAGGGGCTCAAAACTGGAGCTTGATGAGGAAGTAGATAGAACCAAGTGTCCCAAAATGGGGATTTCTCTCCCCAAAATAAGATCTGGCGGAAGGAGCATGGCCACTAGCTATGCAGCACTGGGAGAGGGACAGGCAAGGTAGCATCTCCTGAAGGACTTGGTGAGCCCTGAAAGGTGGGAGGCCTGGAGCCCTAATCCTAGTTTTTCAGGAGTGAGTCAGTTGCTGTGCTGAAGTCATCCTTGGTGTGAGATGGCAAAATAAGCTGCTTCATTTAATTGTTTGAACAGATAATGTGATTTCTTGCTGGGATTTGCTAGGACAGGAACATGCTGGGCTTCAGGGTATTGTAATGCCTGAGCCAGCCCACCCTGCACAGCCTGTGCCTGTCCTGTAAGGCCACCTCCTCCCCACAGTGCCAGGAAAGCACCACTTCAGCCATGAGAGCAGGACACCAGGCTTGCACTGGGGAGGACACAACACACCACAAAATCACTGTGTGATGGAACGGCTTGGGTTGGAAGGGACCTTCAAACATCACCTCATCCAACCTCCTGCCATGGGCAGGGACACCTTCCACTTAGACCAGGTTGTTCGAAGTTCCATCCAACTTGGTCTTGAACGCTTCCAGGAATGGAGCACCCATCACTTCTCTGGGCAACCTGTGCCAGTGCCTCATCACCCCCATGATAAAAAGTTCTTTCCTTGTGTCTAATCTAAACCTGCCCTCTGTCAGTTTAAAGCTGTTCTCTCTTGTCCTGTCACTCAACATCCTTGTCAGAAGTCCCTCTCCAGCTCTCGTGCAGCCCCTTTAGGCAGTGGAAGGTGCTCTAAGGTCTCCCTGGAGCCTTCTCATCTCCAGGCTGAACACTCCCAGCTCTCTCACCCTGTCTCCATAGCAGAGGTGCTCCTGCCCTCTGGTCATTTTTGTGGCCTGCTCTTGACCTGCTCCATCATTTCGGGCACAACTTGGTGACTGCCACCAGTTTTGGAAGCTGCCCAGGATTCCCTGTGGCACATGGAGGAGCTAAAAGCACAGGAAGCATCCAAAACACCCAGGGAGTGTGTCTGGGACAGGACCCCTGTACATGTGGGGTCACTGTGGCTGTGGGTGCTGGCACCCAGGCACACTACAGCAGTCAGGCCTCAGCTGGCTTGTGCTCTACCAGAAGAAAGGGATGAGATATACAGGCATAGTCTAAATACAGAATCATAGAATCATTAAGGTTGGAAAAGCCCTCTGAGATCATCAGTTCCAACCATTAATCCAGCACTGCCAAGTCCACCCCTAAACCATGTCCCTAAGTGCCACATCTACATCTCTTAAATCCCTCCAGGGATGGTGACTCCACCACTTCCCTGGGCAGCTTCTTCCAATGGTTGACAAGCCTTTCAGTGAATAAATTTTTCCTAAAATCCAATTTAAAACCTCCCCTGGTGCAACTGCAGGCCATTTCCTCTTCTCCTATTGCTTGTTGCCGAGGAGAAGAGACAGGCCCCCAGCCAGCAGAAACATCCTTTCAGGGTATTATAGAGAGTGAGATGGTCTCTCCTGAGCCTCCTTTTCTTCAGGCTAAACACCCTCTGCTCCCTCAACTGTCCTCATAATTCTTGTCTTCCAATATATATAGATATATATATGTCAAATATATATACTGAGATACATATATAAAAAAATTATATATAGATACACCAAAAATGTATATACCAAGATAAACATATCTCAAATATATATATATAGATATATGTGATATAGTTAAATATAAAGATATATCTGTAGCTACATAGATACATCTAGCTATAAATAGCTAGGATATAGATATCTCTCTATATGATATGCCTTATACGGTTTCTATATGGTTATAGAAACTTTGATATATAATATATATATAGTTTCTATACAGTGTCTTATAAAGTTTCTCTAACTCCCTGTATAAAACATATCCTAGATACAGATATATCTCTGTGTAAGAGATGTGGAGAGGTACATATATCCTAGATATAGAAACTCAGACTGGAGGACTCCAGTTAGAAATGGGGTAAAAGGCAGAATTTGGTGTGTAAGTGAGCAGATATGATCTCCAACATATGAATTCTGTAAGTAAGATACAGCTATCTTTTTAAGGGATCTTCTATAGAGATACTGCATCTATGTCTAGAGGCATCTGTATCTGCAGGATTTGTATCTAGAGAGATGTAGGATAATCCACCTGAGATATATATCCCTGAGAGTCTAGGATATAGCTTACTCTCTCTAGCATATAGATTATGCAGAGAGAGCTATATAAAGAGGACCTAAACAGAGTGGACCACCCCAGGAGACATGAGGCACTTCCAAACCCTTCCCTAAATAATGAGCAGAGCCTCACTTTCCAGCTGGAGCTGAACTCCCTGGCAGGGCAATCATGCCTGACATCATCTCCAATTACTTATCAGCCAAGATGCAGCCCAGGCAGCTGCCTGCTCTGCCTTTTCCCAGCTTGCTGCCTGCTCCCTTTCATCCCCCCAGCTGCACCAGCCGGCTGCTGGGAGAGCAGAGAGCCCTCACACCACCCCCCAGGATAAGATAACGCCGGGGGTAATGGGAACCACGCGCATCTTCCACGTGGGATCAGGCGCTCCCATCCCTGGATGCTTTGGAGCCCGAGCAACAGGCAGGGAAGGCAGCTGCCGACTCAGCCGGATGAGTCACAGTTTCGGGTGCGTGGGCAGTGCTTCTTTTTTTAAAGCACCAGCCTCATCTCGGCTCAGCTGGGCTTCAAACTCTGCTCCTGGGCGAGCGTGATGCTGCTTTGGTCTCTCAGGGTGTTCGGCAGCCTCGAGGGATGAGATGTTTAAGCACCATCCTGCTGCCCACCTACCATGACGGTGATGCCGTCCTTCTCCAGGGGGGTCTTGTCATAGGTCACTTCACACACTCGCACAACCGTGGTGGCACCGTATTTCTTCAGGTCCTGGGGAGGGAGGGAGAAGGAGAGGTCTGAATAAACCCTGCCAGCTGCACCCCAGTTAACCCCAATATATCCCAGCCCTGCTATGACCACGCAGACAACTACGGACCTTAAAGTACCATGCCCCATCTCTGGACCCTGGAGTAAACCCCCTGTGGTTCATCCAGCCTGGGAGGCACAAGGAAACATGAAATCCCAGGGCAGCAAACTCACGTGGCCACAGTAGGATTTTCAACCAGCACCTTCGTGACTCCCTGGAGTCACGAGTGCCAATGGGGCAATTTATTTTTAAGCCCTGACAGCCACACCAGCAGAGACTTCACACCCCAGGCAAAGAAACATCCCCAACATGGGTGCAAGTTCCCTGAAGGAGGAATTATTTGTGCCCGGTGAGGTCATACTCCTGCTGCAGAAATGGCAGAAATGCAGGTGGGAGGTGGGTGGGGGGGTTGTAGGACACCCCACAGACCGTGCTCAGCATCTCCCAGATGGCTCAGGGCCTCCTTCCCAGCCTCGCTGCCGTATCCCATCATCACTCCAACACGCTGCAGGCTCAGGCGTGGGATTTGGGCTGTTTCCAGCATGGCTTTTTGCCCGGCACAAGGATTGCCCCCGGATTACGTGCCGGTGTACCGACCTTGCACCATGAGATCATCCCCGTCGGTGATCCACCCGCTTTGTTCCCCGTCTGAGCTCACCAGACCGTGCTGAACCCCCCGCGCGCTCGGCAGCTCAGCCAAAAATCTGAGAGGCTGGAGGAAAGGGGAATTTTTCTCCCTTCCCACTGGTGTGGTCCCTGCAGTGTGCAGGGTATGGTGTGGCTGTCCCCAAACCACAACCACCTTCCTGTGGCTCTCTGAGGTGGTGGCACTCACATAGATGCTGCACTTCCAGGCAGGGCACCATTGCTGGCTCATGCAACACCAAACCCTCCAGCACCACCCAACACACTCTGGGCACCGGAAATGCACTGGGATATTTGGGATGAAAATTCATTATTGAGGTGCTGGGAGATGCTGGGGATTGTGTGTGTGCATCTATCTACGTGCATCACTGCAAAGCCCCGTGACATGATGTCCTGGTGGACTTGGCAGGGGACGCAACAGGAATGGGGAAACTCTTCTCTATCTCTACAGTGCCCAAAGATTACACCTGGCGTCCTCCAAAACATCCCACCTCAAAGAGCTGGCAGGGATTATACCCACTGCCTCAGGATGCCACCAGAGGCCGTGGTACCAAAGGGGATTTACTGCTGCCTCATCTACACAGGATTGATCCTGGTTGCATCTCAGCATCAGCTTTTAGCCCCAAAAGGTGCAGCTGGACCCCAGTCCCCTGTTCCAGCCTCCCCTCCTTACCTCCAAGAAGGTGTTGAGTGTGGCATTGGTGGGGTTGTGGGTGATGAGGAACCTCATGTTTTTGTAGCAGACCTCCACCGGTGCAGGGCGGTTCATCCGGGCCATGGTGGGACAAGGGGAGGGTGAGGTGCTGCTGACAGCGGCGGGGGACAAGCCCAAGAAAAGTGTGGCGTGGAGGGGCAAAAAAAAAAAAACAATCCCCCCCCTCCCCTGCAACCCTTCAGCGCTTCAAAAATAAAAATAAAACAGGATCGAGAACTCAATATACAGACGTTGTGCAAATAATCCCAGCTCCTGGGAGCGCGCCGGCTTCCTGACACACCGCAAGCCCCCTCCCTGGAGGGGGAGGGCAAAAAAGCCAGGCAGGAAAAAAAAAATAATATTAATGATAATAATAATTAAAAAAAAAAAAAAATCCCTTTGCTGTAGTGTCGGTGTCCTCAGCGTGTGTGTGTGCAATGGCGAGCGGCCGCCGCCTCCAGTGCCGCGTGCTCCCGGGCGCTCTAGAAAGGCCTCTGCATATGGGGGGGTGGTGGTGGCGGGAGGGTGGCCCCCGTCACGTTACCCCATCGGGGTATGTGGAGTACTTGGGGGCGGCACGGGGGGCCGGGAGCCTACGGGGCGGCGTCGGCGGCGTCCGGCAGCGGTGCCTCGCTGGGGCGATCCATGCACGGGAGCCGTGAATGGTTGGGTCGGAGGGTCGGGATGCCGGGCGGGACGAGGTGAGGGCGGGCCGGGCGCTGCTTCACGGGGAGCACTGCCGGGGGCTCCGGGGATCACAGCTGCTCCTCAGCACCTCCATAAATCCCAGCAGGGAGCGAGGCTGCAGGGTAGGGAAAGGGAAACACCAGAGTGAGAGTGTGCTCCTCAAGGAAGCCCCTGCTCTGTGTGGGTGCCTCTGAAGGCACCATCACCTGCCACAACCTGTACCAGCATCCTGGATCGCAGAATCACAGAATCAGCTAGGTTGGAAAAGACCTCTGAAATCATCAAGTCCAGCCTCTGACCCAACACCACCTTCTCAACTACACCATGGCACTAAGTGCCACATTCAGACTCTTCTTAAACACCTCCAGGGATAGACAGTGAATCCACCACCTCCCTGGGCAGCCCATTCCAATGTCTGATCGCTCTTCCTGTAAAGAATTTCTTCCTAACGTCCAACCCAAACCTGCCCTGGCATAGCTTAAGACTGTGCCCTCCTGCCCTATTGCTGGTTGCCTGGGAGAAGAGACTGACCCCCACCATGCTACAACCTTCTTTCAGGTAGTTGGAGAAAGCAATAAGGTCTCCCCTGAGCCTCCTCTTCTCCAGGCTAAACAACCCCAGCTCCCTCAGCCGCTCCTCACAGGGCTTGTGCTCCGGTCCTTTCACCAGCCTCGTTCATCCTCATCTTTGCAGAAGATCACAGATTAGAAAGCGAGGTGGTATTAAAAGATAAAACTGAAATATCATTGAAAAGCTGAAATGGCACTGGAAAGCTGGAGGGGGTAACTCCCAGTTAGGCAGAAGGGAAAAGCACATGGCAGGGAAGGGCTTGTTCTCTCTCCTATGCCACCCAACATTTGCACCCACTGGAGGACTGAAGCACCCGAGCCACGCAAGCCGACCCCCTGACACCCACCCTGTCCCCCCAGATCTCACCTTTGTGTCCCTGAAAAGCACAGTGAGTACTTCCACCCCAAATGCACGCTGTGCCCGAAACCAGCTGCTGCTGCCCCTAATCGGCCACATGCTCCCGGTGCTGCTCTGGCGGCTCATGTCCACCAAATGCACCTCTAATGCTCTTAGGAGAACTAAGCCGCCTGCAAATGAGCTTTCTTGGGGAGGGGGGGCAGAGGAGGGGGTCACATGTGTATGATTTCACTGGTTTTAGTGGTGGATGTGTCTCCCTGCTTGCTTATCCGCATCCCCATACTGCCGGCACATCGCTCCCTATAAAGTACCCCAGCTCTGTACCTGTGGCATCTTTGCCTTCAAGGATGGCAATGGGAAGAATCAAAAAAAAAAAAAAAAATCAATTCCCACTGTGGAAATGCCAAAATCCAAGAGATGATGGGTTTAGAGTGCAGGTGAGGGCTCTGCCAGCCCCACTCAGAGCTGAGGGAAACCCAGTCGTTAACCACCGGACTCTTGTTTTGAAGCTGGTCCTTCCCCCAGTCAGAGGCTGCTTAGAGTCGCGTGGCCAGAGCCTCAAAATAGAACATAAGCACATAAGTAACACGAGCCAGGCCAGCAGGCACCCCCTCACCTCTTCTCATGATGCCCCAGCAGACAGAAACTTTCCCCTCCGGATTTTTTTCACTCTGATGTAATGAGACACGCGAGATCAGGGAGGTGAGCTGAGCACTGACCAGCTCATCACAGCACCTGGGTGCTGACAACGGGCTCCTCCATGCCTGAGCAGCAGTTACAACCTGCTTGCCAGCTCCTGCTTCTCCAGTGGCACCCAGGAATGAAAAAGCCAAACAGCAAAGGGGGAAAAAAAGCCAGGTGAGGATTTAGAGGATGCAGGGCTGCTCTGCTGAATGTGCCCAGTCTGGCTGGTAAAATCATGGACTTTTCCCATCAACCATGTTCCATCACTCCTAATTTTTTTTCCTCCATAAAAAATGGGGTAATGCCACTCCAGAGCCCTGCAGGGATATTCCTGCAAAGTTCAAAACATACTTGGGCTGCAGCAGGATTAGTGGGATATTCTGGGGTGGGGGCAAATTTCCAGTTCCCACTGAGGAAATCAGATTTTAGCAGCTGATGGAGGCAGGAAGCTTGGCTGAGGGATGGGAGCAAGGCAGGACCTGCCTCCCAGCAGCATTTTAGGTGTGATTCAGTGCAGACAATACCAAAACTCCCAAAGTAGCTGACCCTCCCCACCTCCCCAGCTGGACCACAGCAGCTGGAATCTTTGCTCAAACTTTGCAAATGATCCTGCAAGATGGGCTGGGAAACCTGCTCTCCCCCTGGTGCTCGACATGCTTTTCCAGTGATGATCCCACCCATCACTTTGTTTGTGGGATCTTCTTCCCCCTGAGATGATCTCACCATGACTGGATAAGACTTCATATGGTATTTCTGGAGGGTGATTTTGGGCTGGTTTTGGCTGTGTGGCTCCTACAGGCCCAGCTGCTGAGCTCTGGGCCAGCACAGCCATGAGAAGAACCAGCCGCCCAGTGAGTGAATGATTCCCAAGGAAAACCTGCTGGCAAACCCCTCAGCAAGGTTCATCTTTTTCACTTAAGGGAAAACAGAGGTTAAAACCCTTCAAAGGGATGGGAGGCAGGAGGGATGGGCAGCCACAGGTGCCTGCTCAAAGGGAAGAGCTGATGCAAAGCAGGTATAGCCCCAGATCATCCCCTTGCAAACAACCCAGCTTCTCTGAAACAAAGGACTCGAGGATCTTTTGCTTTTCCTTTTAAAGCCCTTGGCTCTCGGCTCTTCCAGCTTCCACTGTGTTTAATGATATCTTGCCTTCTGCCCCTTCACATTTGACACACTACACCAGAGGTACACACGCAGAAGCAGCAAGTTCTCCCTCCAAACAACCTCATACCTCGTTTTAACCGGCTGCAGAGACACATTAATATGAACTGTGCCCATGTTTAACAGTGTCCTGGATTGATCCCACACGCTGACCAACCCGTGGGACTGGGACCCGCCGTGAGCACCAATGTCCACCAGGAGCAGTGGCTCACTCCCTGCCATCATCCAACACGCAGCTCATGCTCCATCGGCGCTCCGGATCCCACACAGTATTTTGCTGGCTTGGGTGTGCTCGCTGCCAGTAACGGAGGCTCAGTGGGAACCGCCTGCGTACGGGAACAGCCAGTGCTCCTTTCCCACAAGGTCTCCTCTCTCCAGTGGAAGCGTTTCAAGTATTTTGGCACTCGCATGTCCCAGCAATTCAGCCCCGAAGCCCATAAATCCCTAATGGATGTTCAATCGCAAATCATCCCCGGCGCTACAGGCTGAGGCCCTGATCTCTGTATTAACCATGGCAGAACAATGTGGAAAAGGGAATTTCAGCTAATATTAATATCCTGCCAAGTGAACATAAATCCTTCTGATTTGAGCGCTATGGGGGATCCAGAGGAAGCATGTGAGGACACAGTGAGCAAGCCCTGGATGAGGACGCTCAGCAGTGCAGCACTGGCCTGTCAGGCTCACACACCCATCAGTGGGAAGCCTGAGGAAAGGAGGCTGTAGCCAGGTGGGGGTCAGTCTCCCAAGTAACAAAGTCACAGGACAAGAAGAAACAGCCTCAAGTTGTGCCAGGGGAGCTTTAAATTGGATATTAGGAAAAATTTCTTCAATGAAAGGCTGGTCATGCACTTGATTTGGCTGCCCAGGGAAGTGGTGGAATCACCATCCCCGGAATGATCAAAAGGTACATGGATGTGGCAATTAGTGGTGGGCCTGGCAGTGCTGGGTTAGTGGTTGGCCTCAGTGATCTCAGGTCTTCTTCAGCCTTAGTGATTCTATGATTCTTTTTTCACCAGGACTGTGGAGGCTTCTGGTTCTTCCACAAGAACCTGGGTAGCCAAGAGCCCGGTGAGGATCCAGTGAATGCACTTCGATGTGACAAGAGAGCAAGGAAGGATGCTGCTCTGGAGGTGGGGACCACTGAGCCATCACCTCCTTGTCTCACACCCCAAATCAGAGGGGATCACAGGGGTCTCTGAAATACTCCTTTGCAGTGTGGCAGTTCCATTACACACATGTCTTGGCCTTGCCCCAGCTGTCCAGGGACAGACCCTGCAACAGCAGGGATGAGGCTGCTCTTCCTCACGGCAACTGGATGTAAAATAAAGGTCAGGTCTTCTTCACACAGTTAATGGAAGAGCTTGGCTGGAGCGGTGAGCAGATGCCAGACCTGAAGGCTGTGCTGCTGGTACCCGGGGTAGTGGGATGCAGCTGCTGGAGTCAGGTTTTCCTAAACACAGCAACTCCCCAAGCAAAGGAAAAGGAAGCTTTGCAGAGCCAAATTGTCACTCCACGTGGCCTTTAGCAGTGGGACTTGGAACAAAGGCTTTTGCTCACCCAAACAATGTGTATCTCACCCGTAAGTAAATATAGCTGTCTCCGAGTGAGCACATCCCCCATTCAAAGTTCACCTTCAGAGAAATACAACAAAGCACCCATCTGTGCAGCATTTCCTTGACCTCTCTCCTGGTTCCAGCCCATGTAGCAAGACATCAACCAGCCCTTTCCCCTTGAGGCTGATCAAGTCCTGCTCTCCCTGCTCCCAATCCCATGTCTGCAACAAGCACTTCCAGCCCCTTGAAAACTGAATGCAAGTTTCTGAGCAGTCCCAGTTATTACCACGTAGCAGTTCTGCACAGGACTGCTGCCACTGGTATGTGTGACCATGAGCACCAGGTCTGTGGGGCTTGGCTGCACACCAAGAGATCAGCACCACCACTGTTACCACTGCGACCAAACTCCCACCAGTGTCACCACCGCCACCAGCACTACCACTGCTGCCACTGCCAGCAGCATCACCACTGCCACCACTGCCATCACTGCCAGGGAGGACAGGTCCCAGGACGCAGAGAGCCACAGTGCTGTTCCCAGCCTGTGACCGCAGCTGGGACACAGCCGGAGGAAAGCCAAGGCGCTGAGATTTCCTCTGGTCGCATCTGCACGGAAGGAAACAGGAAAGGTCCGGGAGGAGAGTGACGGAAACAAAACCCCCACAGGAGCCGCATCTGGGGGCAGAGGCGTCAGCGGCCACCGGCACGTCCCGCTCCAGGTGCAGAGCTGGACAGAGCACAGAGGGATGGCCCAGAAAAGCAGTGCTGGGTACTGTGGTGGATGTGTGGCATCTGCTCCACAGGAGTGGAGCAGCGCCCGGCACCATCTGCCTGGGGAACCATCGTGGGGTTTTCTCTCCAAGGGCTTGTTGGTTTTTTTGTTGTTTCTTTTGCTGCAGGTGATGTTTTCTGAGCAAAGCAGCAAGGAGGGTTAAAACTGCAGAGGGAGAGGCAGCCCACCAAAAACACACCTGCAAGATAAACCAGCTCATGCATCTTCCTCCTTTTTGGTGGTAAGTGATGGCTGACACGTGATTTTGCAGAAGAGAGCTGTACAGCTCCTGACTTTATAGCTCCGGTTGGATTTGAGTAGTTTGGTAGTATTCAGGCAGCAGGGAAAGGTGCCAGCATGGTGCTGGTGTGGAGATTTGCAAGCAGCAGGCACTCTGGAGCCCAGGAAAGGGGGAGGAACCGGGAAGCTGAGGTAGCGAGCCAGCCAGACTGATAAAAAGAAGAGCACAGTCTTCCCGGCACTGTGCAAGCTGGGAATGCACCGGAGGCCCTGGTAACATGATCGACCCTTTCTTATCTTTTATTTGCACCTGAGGCTGAGGCACAGTGTGGAAAGTGCCTGTAAAGGTCCTTTGGTAGTTGTTTTTGCCTCTCACCCACTTTGGTGCCGGCACACAGCCCCGATGGGACACAGACCCTGTGCTGACATGGAGGATTCCTGTGATGCCACTGGTGTCAGGGTTGCATCTCCTGTCCAGAGCTTGTGAGGCAATGCCCCAGAGGAAACATAACGTGCTCCAGGCATCCCTTCAACAGCTCCTTAGCTGGAATTTCAGCTTTTCCCCTCACATGCAGACCCCATACACCTCCAACTTGCAGTCTCCATGCATGGCTTTTTTTAACCTAACTCCTTGTACCAGGAGAGATCCAGCCACCAGAAGATCATAAAAACCTCAGAAAGGCACCAAACCTTCAGCACTGGGGGGGGTGAAAGGAATGCCCCCAGCTGAACACAGCCCTCCCACCCTGTCCTTGGTAGCAGATGACTCCTGGGCAACAGGCAGTGGTATTGCTTGCAGTGAGATCTTGGTTTTCTGATACGGGAGATCCCCTCCATCACCTTCCTCAGCAGCTACGAGGAGCTCGGTGCCAACTCAGAGGCTTTTCCTGGCTTGGATTTGAAGGGAAAAAGAGGAAAAAAAAAAAGAAAAAAAAGAAATAAAAGAGGGGGTGGAAGAGAGGCCAACTCCACAGGGAAAAGTAATAAGAGGCTTGGGGCTGGCTGCTTCCCAAATCTGCAGAGGGTGTGCCCTGGAGGGTTTTTTGGTGGGGGGGGTGAAAGGCTCAGTCATTTGGGGACAGACAGTCCCCATGCTCTGGCGCTTGATGCATAGGGAAGTCAGGCACCCCAAATACTGGGGCCAGCTCCCCCCCATCCTTCAGAGATTTCTTCTGGCCAGAGGAATCAAGGATTAAAAAAAACCAATTCTGCATCTGACTGGGCATTTCCAGGATTCCTGCCTTGCCCAAGAGCATCCTTGGAAAGAAAAGAATCCCAAAGCAGCATCCTTGTCCCAAAACACACACAGGGGGCCAAGCTGACCCCAGTTGTCCCCCACAACAACTGTCACTGCCCCTTGTCTCTCCCCCCCCGAATATCTGGTGTGGTTGAACACCTGCTCATCTTTTCTTGTGGTTTCCAACAGCATTTTGAGTTAATTTAGTACTCATGGCACATGTCTGAGTGGCAAAATTTGGGGGTGGGGGCAGAACGATGCCTCTTTCAGGGTCAACAGGCAGCAGCACCCTGCTGGGGAGGGCACGGAGGGGCTGCCATGACCTCCCCTCAGAAGTACAACTTGACCCTGTGCTGGGGTGGCTGTTTTTGGGAGAAATGCAGCCTGCATTTAGCATTTTCCACTGTTTATCCCAACACCAGTATTTTGGCTCCTGGTCTTCAAACTCTCTGTGTTCCACCAGACCTGAACTTTGCTATCTGGCGTGTCCCCGCTCAGTGGGGACATTCTGATGGGAAGATGTACCCACACCACCTGGTCCTACCTCCTCCTCAGGTCAGCAGCAGCCCTGACCAAAGGCCACCGTGGCCCTGTCTGCGTCATCGGTGTCCCTTGCACAACCCCCCAGTGCTGATGGACCGCGGTGGCTTTGATGGACATCTGCTGATGAAGAAAGGTGGCTCCAGGGGACTCAGTCTACCCAGTAGGTGGATTTTGACCTGCAGACAGTGTTGAAATATTGCTCCATGACATGCTGGGGATGCAATGTGGGACAGAACATGCTCTGCCCGTGATAAACCCCATGGACGCATCGTCTCTGGTGGTGTCCAACCACAGCCAGCATTATCTGGAAAAGTCGTGCTCTGGAGAAAAGCCTCTCTTCCAGGTCAGTGCCACCAGGTTTTAGGTGGAGTTTGTGAGTCACTGAGCTTCCTCCACCATCCAGACCCTGTGCTCTTAAGGAGTTGTCCTCCCAGACCATCTCACTCTTCCTCTGCACTATTTGGTCTGCACATTTCACCCCATGGAGACAGGGTCACACATATCAGGACAGGCTGCTGTGGGGTGGCAATGCCACTGGCCCTCTCCCTCGTTGTGGTGGACACCAAAGCACTTCTGAAGGCAGACACCATCCTGCATGGAAAACCCTGGGTTGGCTCCTCATCCTCACTAGCCCTGACCTTAACATAAGAAACTATCACTTGAAACAGCCCTTTCAGGGATGTCCCTTTTCCAGCAGAATGGGACAGAGATGCTGTATGGAAGTGTCCTCTCAGGGCTACTAATAATATAGAGAGACACCGTCTGGGGGGAAAACATGACGGGTGTCAGCCAGGACAATTAAAAGCCATGGAGCAAGCAGAGGGAGATGGGAAAACAGTCTGGGTGGGGATGCAGCAAGATCTGGTAGTGGCCTGCCTTGCTGCAGATCCCCAGCACACTGCCCTCCTGGCTCATTCCCCTGAGCCCAGGTCCTGCAGAGATGATTTTCCCTGCAACCTTCTTCCAGAAAACTCCTTAGCTCCAGCAAAAAAGCCACAGCACAGCTCCCTAGCTTCCACAGGGTGACTGCTCTGCAAAAGCCACACGCCAGCAAAGCCCTAGGGACAAAGGTGGGTACCTCTGAGCTGCTAGTTTTGGATGCATGACTGTGGCATGGCCTGATCCTGCACCCTCTCCCACTCTCCTGCACCCAGCCACCCCCAGCAACAGGGACAAAATCCTTTGGACCTGCCGCCCTTGCGCAAAAACCCGGAGCCAAGGGACGCCGTGCCAAGAGCTGACCCCCACCCATGGGAGCTTGCAGAGCAAATAAAGGTGGTTTTTTCTTTCAAATAGAAGATCAAAGGGGATGAAATGCTGAAAGCTGCAGCTGTTCTTGCTGGTGGGACATCAGTGTCTCCACTTGCTCTGCAGAGCCTGCCTGGTGTGTAAAGCACTGCCCCACATCCTGAGCCCAATTCACACCCTGTCCACAGGGCAGATGGGGCACCAAACTGGAAGGAGGAGAAGCGAGAATCAAGCATTGCTTTGAAGGCAATGCAGAGCTCAGATTGCTCAGAGTCTGCAAACTAGAATCACAGAACTGCAGAATCACTCAGGCTGGAAAAGACTTCCAAGATCATCAAACCCAACCTTTGACCAAATACCACCATGTCCACCAAACTATATCACAGAGTGACATGTCTGCTTGATTTTTGAACACTTCCTGAGATGGTGCTGTTCCAATTCTTAGCCATTCTTTCAGTGAAGAACTTTTTCCTAATATCCAACCTGAACTTCCTGTGGTCAACTTGAGGCCAGTTTCCAGCTATGGAGCTCCTGAAGCTCAAAGCCCCTGGAAATGCATCTTACAGTTGGGTTCACAAGGATTTAAAAAGTTGAGGATGCAGCTGTGGTTCTTCCTCTATCTCAGGAACTGGTGGCCAGGGAGATCTTATTGTGGCCTTTCAATACATTAAAGAGAGCTTATAAGGAAGATGGAGAAGAACTGTTTACTATGGCCTGTCACAGTACAAGAACCTCCAGCTTTGAATTGAAAAAGGGCAGGTTCATACTGAACATAAGCAGAAATTGGCTATGAGAGTGGTGAGACACTGGAACAGGTTGCCCAGAGACACTGTGGATGCTGCATCCCTGAAAGTGTTCAATGTCAGGTTGGATGGGGCTTGGAGGAAGTAACCTGAGGTAGTGGAAGGTGTCCCTGCCCATGGCAGAGGGGTTGGAACGAGATCGTCTTTAAAGGTTCTCTCCATCCCAAACCACTCCCTGATTCTATGAATGACTGACAGTCAGGGTGGCCAGGTGGCACCAGTGACCTCTCCCCAGGGTTCTCCACATCAGCTTCCACCCAGCTCCCAGCTTGCCTCTTCATCAAGTGGAATCCAAACTGGACTCAAGTTTAATCAAGGTATTAAAAAACCTCGCTGGAACAGGACTCTCTGCAAATTGGGAAAAAGGGCTGAAAAATCTTCAGG